TGGAAGGCCTCCAGACTGGCAAGACTTTGTGGGGATCATTGCTTTACTTTTTATCAACTCTACCATAAGTTTTATTGAAGAAAACAATGCTGGTAACGCGGCTGCAGCCCTCATGGCTGGTCTTGCTCCTAAAACTAAGGTAAAAAAACACATCTGCCATGGCTCTTTAGGCTTTCCATCATCTGTTAATTGTTTTCTCATTTATTTTTGATGTCTTGTAGGTTCTAAGAGATGGTCGTTGGAGTGAGCAAGAGGCTGCTATTCTTGTTCCAGGAGATATTATCAGCATTAAGCTTGGTGATATAATACCAGCAGATGCCCGTCTTCTGGAGGGTGATCCTTTAAAAATTGATCAATCTGCTTTGACTGGGGAATCACTCCCAGTCACCAAGAACCCCTCAGATGAAGTATTTTCTGGCTCTACGTGTAAACAGGGGGAAATTGAAGCAGTTGTCATTGCCACTGGAGTGCACACATTTTTTGGCAAAGCTGCTCATTTAGTCGACAGCACCAATCAAGTTGGACATTTCCAGAAAGTTCTTACTGCTATTGGTAATTTCTGCATTTGCTCAATCGCTGTTGGAATACTAATTGAGCTTATAGTCATGTACCCAATACAACGCCGCAAGTACAGAGACGGAATTGACAACTTGTTGGTGCTTTTGATTGGTGGAATTCCTATAGCAATGCCAACCGTTTTGTCTGTCACCATGGCCATTGGTTCTCATAGGCTTTCTCAGCAAGGTGCCATTACTAAGAGGATGACGGCTATTGAGGAAATGGCAGGCATGGATGTCCTCTGCAGCGATAAGACGGGAACTCTGACCCTGAACAAGCTAACTGTGGACAGAAGCTTGATCGAAGTGTTCGTTAAGGGTGTCGAGAAAGAGTATGTTATTCTTCTTGCAGCGAGGGCCTCTAGAACAGAAAATCAGGATGCCATTGATGCAGCTATAGTAGGAATGCTCGCGGATCCCAAAGAGGTGAAATTTGGCTGCATTTGATCTTTATTTCTTAAACCAAGATTTGGACATTGGATTCATATTACTTGTATAGTTGTAACTTTTCAGGCACGAGCAGGAGTTAGGGAGGTTCATTTCCTTCCATTCAATCCTGTAGATAAAAGAACTGCTCTAACCTATATTGATTCTGATGGAAGTTGGCATCGAGTAAGCAAAGGTGCACCTGAGCAGGTAAGCTACTTTTAATGGTAACAATTCTTGCTTGCAAGTTTAGTGAAGTAACTGATCATCTTGCAAATTTTTTCCAAGCAGATCCTTAATCTTTGCAACTCCAGGGAAGACACTAGAAGAAAAGTTCATGCAGTGATTGATAAGTTTGCAGAACGTGGACTTCGTTCATTGGGTGTTGCAAGACAGGTACTTTTAGAACTAAATCTTTAAAGTTTTTTCTTTTCCTAGTGAATGTAATGCTTATGTTATGTTACTCTTTTAACATATATTAGGAAGTACCTGAAAAAACGAAAGATGGCCCTGGAGGACCATGGCAGCTTGTTGGTTTGTTGCCTCTATTTGATCCTCCTAGGCATGATAGTGCAGAAACCATAAGGAGAGCTCTGAACCTCGGAGTAAATGTGAAGATGATTACTGGTACATATCGATAAATGTTACTGCCTATACTATACATTTCTATATCATATACTCCAGCAACTAACATTTTTAAGTCCTTCTGCATAGGTGATCAACTTGCCATTGCCAAGGAAACAGGCCGCAGACTTGGAATGGGAACAAATATGTACCCTTCTTCTTCATTACTTGGTCAAGACAAGGATGAATCTATTGCTTCACTTCCTGTGGACGAGTTGATTGAGAAGGCGGATGGGTTTGCTGGAGTATTTCCAGGTTGGACTCTGCTCTCACATTCTTTCTTCTTTAACATATTGAAGTGATAGTTTTCATCCGTGCTCGTCTTAGTCTACATTGAACCGAATTATTCCCCAAATAATGACATTTATAGCAACCAGTAGTTTCAGTTTGCTTTTAAATCTGGTATCTGATGCTATATTTTGCATCGTGCAGAGCACAAATATGAAATTGTGAAAAGGCTGCAGGAAAGGAAACATATATGTGGAATGACAGGAGATGGTGTTAATGATGCTCCTGCTTTGAAGAAGGCAGATATCGGAATTGCTGTTGCAGATGCTACTGATGCTGCCAGAGGTGCTTCAGATATTGTACTGACAGAACCAGGATTGAGTGTAATTATTAGCGCGGTGCTAACCAGCAGAGCTATTTTCCAGAGGATGAAGAATTACACTGTTAGTTCTTTTTTCTTTCTTTTATTCTAGTACTTTTTTGGATTTTTCTTTTCTTCATGTGAAGTCATCAAGTACTTTCTTCTTAATGATCATTTACCGGTGGTTTAATTAACTTCTCTCTTCCGCAGATCTACGCAGTTTCAATCACCATTCGAATAGTGGTAAGTGATTATGAAATATGTAGTGAATGATTTGATAATTATACCCAAATGCTTCTAATCTCTAATACCTGTTTCTTTCTACAATCTTTGGATATTGCAGTTTGGCTTCATGTTCATTGCTTTGATTTGGAAGTTTGACTTTGCACCGTTTATGGTTTTAATAATAGCCATTCTAAATGATGGTAAGTTCATACGAATAACCTACAACTGGACCATTACTCGCATACCAGGCTAGGGATCAGGCTTCTGATTTTGTGCATTTCCTCTACTCTTAGGAACAATTATGACAATTTCAAAGGATCGAGTAAAGCCATCTCCACAGCCCGACAGTTGGAAACTGAAGGAGATTTTTGGAACTGGCATTGTGCTTGGAGGATACTTGGCACTGATGACAGTGTTATTCTTCTGGGCTGTGAAAGATACTAACTTTTTCTCAGTAAGAATTTTACATGTCTGGCTTTGGCTTACTAATAACTAACAAGGGCTGTTGTTATAGACTTATATAAATACTTTTGTTTTGTTCTTTTTAGGAAAAATTTAATGTGAAACCCCTGAGGGATAGTCCAGAAGAAATGATGGCAGCGTTATACCTACAAGTGAGCATAATAAGCCAGGCGCTTATTTTTGTGACAAGGTCTCGCAGCTGGTCATACATGGAACGTCCTGGACTCCTCCTAGTGGGGGCTTTCATAATCGCTCAGCTGGTAAGAATTATGGGTCAAATTAATTATAATTACAAGTTTTGTTGTCCCTAAATGGATTGTTTGAACTTTGAACTGGCAGGTGGCGACTGTGATAGCTGTTTATGCAAATTGGGGGTTTGCAAGGATAAAGGGAATGGGATGGGGCTGGGCTGGGGTCATCTGGCTCTACAGCTTGGTAACCTATATCCCTCTCGACATTCTGAAATTTGGAATACGCTACGCTCACAGTGGCAAGGCCTGGGACACTCTTTTGGAGAACAAGGTCTCGTGTCTCTCTTATTTTGACTGTGCATATAAGTAGAAAATAACTGAGAAATGAAAAAAAAAACACATACACAACAATCACCCAAATTCTTTCTCTTGATTCCAGTTACACAAAACATTCTCACAAAAATTCTCTCTGATTCCAATTACACCAAACATTCTCACAAAATTTTAAGCCACTTAGTTAACTCTTGAAGTGTTTAGAACACACTCCCTCATTGTACCTTTTTAACATGGGATAACTTTTCTTCTAATATTTTGCCAAAAATCTTTGTTATTTAATGGGGATTGGAATTCTATGTGGACTACTGCTGCAATTGCAGACCGCATTCACAACGAAGAAGGACTACGGGAAAGAAGAGAGAGAAGCGCAGTGGGCAGCTGCACAGCGGACTCTACATGGTCTACAACCACCCGAAAACTCCAATCTCTTCCCTGAAAAGACTAGTTACAGGGAGCTTTCAGAGATTGCGGAGCAAGCCAAGCGCCGAGCTGAAGTTGCCAGGTTCTTACACTCTTACAAATCCAAATTCAGTGTTCTTAGAATTATGAAAATCATTTTTTGTTTTGTGTTGTGAGTGCAGGCTCCGAGAATTGCATACACTGAAGGGCCATGTTGAGTCGGTAGTGAAGCTGAAAGGACTGGACATTGATACAATCCAACAACACTACACAGTTTAAAGACGGTGAGGAGAATCCAATCCCCATCCAAATTCTCTCTCTCTCTATAACTTAACTTCTCTGTTCCTGATAAAACGATGAATGACGCATATAACCGAGTAGTTGGTTTCTAGAGTCCTACTTTTTAGCTGCTTGTTTTTATTATGCAAGGCAGAGGAAAAATAAAAATAAAATAGATATTCAGTTTTCCATGTCTGTAATATTAACTGCCAGCTTTATTTCAGACTTTTAAACTTATTGGCCGACCTTGAAGATTTTTTAGTGGGATTTTCTTCTTTCTGCACCAACGTTGTGTGAGGTCCCTCCTAGAATTTTACGACCTTTATTTAGAACTGGTGTTGGTACCTAATTTCTTTAGCATTTCGTTATCCTCGTTCATAAGTACCTAGTTTAAGTGGATAACCAACGCAAACGTACCTTTTATTCCTTCATTTCCATTCCAATATAATTAACACGGAAAAGGAGATCTCAACTATAATATTATACCGATACAAGCTCAAAACTCGAACATCAGTTTGGCAATGTTCCCATTTCTTGTTTATAGTTCTATAGATAAGTTTTAACATTTGACAACTTTTTTATATTTCTTGTTAGTTGTTTATCATTTTTTAGAAATGTTCCCAAAATTATATAGAAATTTTGAAAAAAATTGAAAATCTCTTGTTCATGTTACCGGTAAAATCAAGCTTCCTTACTTTTTTTTTAATAAAAAGAATGAAAGAACAATAAATAATCACTAAATGCAACTATGAGCGTTACCAGATTAGAAACTCACCGAACCAATGAGGTTAAAGATAGTTGGTTTGAATAGAATTTGTCAATTTGGTTATTAAAATTTTGGGATCAATTGTCAGTTTATTTTATTTTACACCCTTACAAAATGGAAAGGAATCAAGAAAAGTACAATAATGATGGCCAAAAGAGGGGATGCTACATACAAAAATGCAAATCTTAATGTATTCTTTGCTCTATACATCTGGATGCCAACCACAAAAAAGCCATTATAGTTGGGAGCTAACCTACAGATGAACCTACTTCAATTTGTGATTTTGATGTTGTTCTAACCAAATTCATGATACCAAATAAAATACAAACATCACTCAAACGTACCTCTGCTATAACTTTGTACAGTTCCGCATTTCTCTAGGAGTTGCTGAAATACACTTTTAAGTGGGAGGTTTCGGCGGAAACATCTGTTGTATAGCCTTAGGCAAATTCAACACAATCTCTGCATATGCTGATATGGGGAAGCAGGAAAAGAAAAGAACATTACAGTTCTAAAATTTGATTTGGTAACTGCCTAACTAATTTGAATTGGAAAACATACCTTCCGGTAAGCTCATGGTTCGTAAAGCATCCTCTGCATATGATAGGCGAGCTGGAATAGGATGACTTCCAGTTCCTCCATTTTTCTGAAACTGAGGCATTGGCCATGCAAGCACACTGATTTTAGTTGGCAGCACATAGATAAGATCTGCATATCTCAGACTGACAGTCACCGTGCTGGAAAGAAGACACAGGTTAAGGTTAAATTTGATAAGAATCATGACAAATATGGTTGTTGATTTCTAGTAACAGGCCTTGGAATTGATGGCAGAAAAAAATAAACGGGTCAATATCAATATCTTGGGCTTTCAGGTAGACCACCTGACTCAACTCTCATGCTGAACTACGTTAGGATTAAAGAGTAAATGTATTCAGAATTCCAGTTTCTACATTTTCTTTAAAACACTCATAGAAAAACAGCTTAAGGTATATGGCAAAATATAAGAAGAGTTCAACGATGAATATAACTGAGTTTAGTGAACTGACCAGTCAAAATCATCTAGCACAAATTCAACCATATGGAATGGAAGGCTATGATACAACTCCCTGATCTGGTTGCCATATAACTCCTTGATAAGCCTAACCTGAATTATTTATGAACACATCATGTAAATCTTCACTTAGCGAGAAAGGAAGATGCAACCTATAATGAACCAAAAGGATGCAACCTATAATGAACCAAAAGGAATAGCCATACGACCACATAAACACACAGGAGGATTACATCAAAATTTTTTTGGAGGATTCTTATAAAGAAAAAAACACGCACACCGGGGGTCCCATACAAGATTTTTTCCATAACTATGCTAAGCACTGTTAAGTATGAGTATGCTTAGGGTTGTGCACGACAACATAAAACTCTCTCCTACAACCACCATCAAAATAAGTTAGCGAATTTTAGCATATCAGCCAACAACCCAAGTAGTGCCACCGTTTTTTTTTTGTTAAGAGGTAAACATCATCCTGAAGAAGTCTTATTTGTCTAACAATAATTATCACTTTATGAAGATTTGGCCTTCTCATACTAAATGACACTACTTAGCCAACCATCAGGATGCATAATCAAACATCCATCGACGTAACACGTGCAAAACAAAAGGCAAGAATTAATTCTACTACAATGCCATCATAAGTCTAACAGCACAGGGGTCTGTACTGTGTAGACAACAGACAGAATGATCGAAGCACGCAAGCTAAGGGATGAACTAACGTCTTCCTTTTAATATAACCATTTACTGATTTCTTACCTGTTCCCTTCTATCCACATAGGCCTGCAAAAGTTCTCCAATATGATCTATAAACTTCTGCAAGATCGAAAAATTGAAGGAAACGTGGAAAAATCAATTTATTTGCAATAATCTGAGATCATCAATGAAAATTTAGGCAACCAAACCTACCATCGCATTAGAGGAGAGAAGATCATTTTCTGCTTCTCGTATTGGCAAAAAGAATGGAATTGTATGTTCTAGGACGGTCATTTTTTCAAGAAATGACTTACTCTCAAGCACGCAATGGTAAAGTTCACAAGGCTCACCTGAAAATTATTCAACCAGATCATTCCACTTCCAAGAGACATAAATTAATGAATGATCATACCAGCAAAATAAAAATTAAGAGCACCAAAATATAAGTCAACAGCACTAAATGATTCTACCTAAATATTTACCATAGCATAAAATTCAGGTTTCTCGGCAACAAGAGAAAATGAAACAAAATGAGTTCTATGTGATTCAAACCTGTATACCAGCACTAAATGATAAATGTACTCACTGGCATAAAGTTCCAAGTTTCCAAGCTACATTGACTAAGAGAAGCTCAAGCAAAATATCAACCATCAACCAAAATATTTATAGTAGCATAAAGTTTAAGTTTCTAAGTAACATGAAAAATGAAATAATATTTGGACAAATAATCTCAGAATTCAAGGCACTAAAATGAGCATTTTTCCAACCTATTCCAGTTGGAGATACCAGGTCATGTCGTTGCACTATAAAATTGATGTATGGATGTGACCCATAGATTTTAATAATATTTGGTAGTCCACTTATTCAATTTAAGGAAGCGAAGGTCTGCACTGCTGATTAATCAAAATTATTACAGATTCCAAAATGAACGTGCCGGCACCTTTCACAATGAATGAATGCCCATAAGTTTTAGCCTCCTCATAGGCTCATACAGCATTAATTTTCTTTCATTTAAGACCTCATTACATGAGTGGAAGTCAATACATATTAGTGAATTGTTTTCCTTTTCACAATCCAAATACTATAGAAATAGAGTGAAATTATCAAATTACCAGCAAAAGATGTCTCATATTGTATACCAATCCTTGCTCCTTCCAAGCAGCAAATAACCTGTTCAACAAAAAACATGCTCGTTTTCAACTCTTAATACACTATCTGAAAATAATCTACTCCATACATTCAAAGGCATGCTATAGTCCACGATCATTTTGCAAGCAAAAATACTTCATTAATATCTCAAAGGAGTAAAGATACAATAGGAGATAAGGTATCAACCCACAAAAGTCACGAGGATTATATCCTGCTAGCATTTGTGGAAAAAAAAAGCCCCAACTACAAAAAATTTGGACAATAAACTCCAGAGGGAGTCCTCAAAATTTAATGGCCTCTCACGTCTTATTGCCCCCTCTAGACTAGCCCAGAAAAATTCTTAAGAGTCATTTCAATCAACCATTCCCACGCTCTGTATTCACCTTGTAATTTCAAAGAACCATCGAAATGTGCAGCCATACAAAACATACCTTGGTTCCAACTTTATAGGTGATTTTTTCCAGTGGCAACATATCCGATTCTGCAGGCATGGCCTTTCTATCTGCCTCCATATGAACCTGATAAAGGAAGGACATTACCATAAGCATTCGTCATCGGAAGCATGAAACAATGGGATCAAAATGGCATAAATTACCTTTGGTCATCGATCATCTTTGTCTCAATTTACAAGTTTCTTTAAAATGATAGTGAAATAAAAAAAGAAACTCAAAATAAAATTGAATGATTTGACAGTTTGCAACATTGTCATACCCGCTCTCTTATTGTAGCTAAAAGCCCATCATTCCATTGCTCACCATCCAAACATATTTCTGCAAAACCCACAAAAAATAAGGGGGAAAGCATCTTAACTACCTTACCTAAGTAGGCAAATGAGGAAGAAGTGATTAAAATGGCCATACTGCACATTTTGAGGGGAAAAATAAAAACCAAGAAAAAAGGTAGAAGAGGAAGGATTGAGTCATCTCATAATTATGTGGTACTGTGCCACACAAACAAGTGAAAAGACGAGTAAAATAGATCTCAGGGAATGTAATTCACTGCAAATTACCTTGAGTCTGAGATGCTCTAGCAGCTTCAAATTCTTTTTGTAAGCGCTCAAAAATCATCTTGTCAGAGTCCCTATTGTTAATATTATTATTTAAAAAAAAAAGGAAAAAAAAAACAAAAGCCAAAAACCAAAAACCTTACGCCTTATATTCTGTAAAGAATACATAACTTGAAACCCTCACCCAAAAGTAAATAGTTCATTGCCATTTGTTCATGATAAGTTGATAACAAAATAAAAGGACATACACCACAACATAACAAGATATCTACAAGCTCTCCATGGCAAGAGAACGTTCAAATGATTATTTAGAAAAAGAAAAAAAAAAAAAACCATCGTGTACACAATTAAGCTTAGTCAAACATAACTACATCAAAGGTGGCCTACCTGGAGAGACGCTCAGTTAATTCACTGTGCCTTTTGAGGACATTTGAAACTGCAAAATAACAAAGAAGCCAGAAACCAGAAATTTCATTAACTAACGAAAAAAGGAAAAATAACATAAAAGAAATTTTGAAAGAGGTGAAAAGAACAAAAAAAAAATGAAGTACATCTTGCCCGTGTAGTCTCCAAGCTAATATCTTCTTCTTGCATAAAACTCTGTCACAGATAAAGGGACATTCAAATCGTTGAAAGAAAAATTTCAACCCAAGACAACATATTGTACCCAGCTGAAAAAGGAAAGAGTGCAGAGAAGATAAATAAAGCTCAGAACCAAACATTATAAGGAAGAATTAAAACCCAAAGCTAGCTGCAAAAGAGAAAATTACAAACCATAAAGAATTACAAGATAACTATATAAAGCTGGCATAAATAAAAAGAATAATGCACCAGAAATAAAATTAAATACTTACAAGGCAAACATTTTTATCATACAATACAACTAGCAGCATACAACAATGAGTGATGAACGGATAACAACACAGATATTGGCCAAATCCTTCATGATATGTGCATCTCAAGTTATGCATGAGTCTTGCTTACACATATATGTATGAGAAAAAAAAGAAAAACAGAGTGAGCAGTCCCAGTGCTGAGTAACTCTTATATAACACCGATGAGAGGTTGCATCTGAGATGATGAGTCTTGACAAAGAGTAAAAAAAACAAGAGCCAAGAAAAATAACAAACTTAGAGCAGCTAAGTCGTTGGCAATAAAAAGTATTGCTCTCCTTTCCAAGTGGTTATAGTGCTTCTTCTTATAACCCAATTCTCAGTGGCATAAGATTGCAGAGAGCAAGTACGGCCTTCTGCCACAGGGACTCTAGTATCTTACTATCAGTGGAACTTGCAGGAATCCTCTGAACCTAAAAACTAAAAACTAATAAAAAACCAACTCAGATCAAAATTATAAAATAACTCCTAAATACACTACATCACCAAATTTTCTTTCATTAATTTGCATCCATGTAAGTTCAGCACTCATTATCTCCAATAGAACACCTCGTGTTCCAACTTACTTGGTCAGACTCACAAAAGGAAGATGCATGGCACTAGTATCCTCTCATCAATTTCCCCAAATCTCTAATGTTTTCATAGCTAATTCACTAGAAATAGCCACACTTGTTCTCATTACCCAGAAAATCAATTACGTTACGGTATCTCTTATGCCTTAATAAGAAGTTAGAAACTGGAGAAATGGAGTTTTAAACGGTACTTCTGAAAATGCTGAGGCATGCAAAAGCAAAACTGCATCTCATGTACATTTACAACAGCAGGAGGGTAATTCTCAGCGGTAATATTTAGGTCCATTTTAATTGATTTATGTATTGTATCCATGTTTAAATTCTGCATGACATTTGCAACTATCAGATCAAATAACCACAACTCCACAAACAGCACTAAAAATTAAGCATAGTTACTTTGACTAATTTAACTGTGTCCATTTCAATTGGTGATCTTGCATGATACCTTAGAATATTTTTGATAGTTCAACTATAGGTTGTTCTTGAGGAAATAGACTTGAGCGCATTAGCCACATTAAACACGACTGGTTTAATGCATATACCTCTTAAATACTTTCATTACATTGTTGCATCAGCCGATAAACTTGGCTAATTAACTCCTAGGAAGAGTAATATGACTCAATTTTCCCACATTACTTAATATCGTCGCTCCCTAGGAAACCGCTGCATGATTCCACACTTGAAACCTTCAGATCATAAAAACGATTACAGAATCACGTCTCGAATAATTTACCGTCTATACTGTCGTAACATGTAAACTCCGAATTTATAAGAATTAAACTCTCGCAACGCCAAATTCGATCCAGAAACCTAAGCTTTCGATTTCTACGTCGTACACTTGAACTCGTTTACACAAACGGAGATTTGGAATCGACTCCTGATCGAATGAGAGAATAAATTTGCGCAGAGACCGTAAGTAAACGTACCTTGCGAGAAGATTCGCCAGGATGTGGATTTTTTCTCGGCTTCTTCTTGATTGATTCTTCGATGTCGCTCTCCATTTCTCGACTACGAATCAAAATTGACCAGAAAAAAAAATTGAAAAAAAACTTCGCACTTCGCGCCCAGTGAACTGCAACAAATTTTAGGCGGGTGTTCTCTCCCGGCAAAGAGATTAGGGCTTTGAAATATGCCCGCTTTTATTTTCAAAACATTATTTATGCATAAATCTCGAATGCCCGCTTTTATTTTCAATAAATAGTTTTTGGAATATAATATCACAATTGTAAAAATAAAATAAGGGATTTTCCACTCTCTTAGACTTTAATTATGTTTTTTTTAATTTCAATATTTTTACTATATTTAAAATATTTATTTATTTTATATTATTTATAAGATGCCTAAATAAAATATTGAGGAGAATCAACGCTCATTATGAAAAAATAATCCACAAATTTGATGTTGAGAGTTGTTACCATCCACAACATTCATTTGAGATATCTACAAATTTTTTAATAATTAATATTTCACATTTAGTTTTTAAAAACCTTCAAATATAATAAAGTATTTTTAGTACACATTTTAAAGTTGCCTATGAGGCTATAAAACATATTTAAAAGACATTTTGTAATTATTAACAAAAGAACAACTATATTATAAAAAACTTAACAAATTATTATTTGTCTAATTAATATAATTAAAAATAGTTTTCAAAATAAAACTAATATATACATTAAAAAAAGTTTGTACCGTAAATGATTATTTTCACTAATAATAAATTCAAGTTAGTGAGACTCTATTCCATCTCATATTTTAGTCCTTTTTTTTATCAAGTATTTTATTTATTTATGCTAATTGTTAAAATAAACTTGATTAAAAAATATATGTCGCTAAGTTGAATTCCCTCACTCCAAATTCCTTGAACTAAAAAAACTAAAAGGAAAAAAAAAAACCCCACTAAAATAAATTAAAAATAATACCTCCAAATGATTAAGAGAGGGTTTGAAAGAAAATAAAAAACTGAGCTTTTTAATTACACAGAAAAAAAGGGAACATTTTGAGAGAGCTACTGAGGAAGAAGAACCCGAAGAGAGATATTGCAGATTGCTACGCAGAAGCAAAACCTCCAATAATAATCAGCAAAAAGAGAAGAAAAAAAACCCATCAAAGAAGAAATTAAAATAAATCTAAATTATAAGAGAGAGAGGAGAGAGAAGAGAGAGAAGAGAGAGAGAGAGAGACGGAGGTTGAAGGACAGTGAAAGCAAACGAAAGTTCGAAGCTCCGAAGATTCGGACCCAGCCACTCAGCTTCAATTTCTCTTCAATTCTTCAAGTTCGTCAAAAGGTCAGAGCTACGGCAATCTCTTCGTCGTCGTTGTTCAAATGCTATTGAACTTACTGGGCGAGATTCAATGTGCTCCATGTCTCTGCAATTCGTGCTCTGTTCCCTCTACTCCACTTCCCGCAACTCACTGATCTCCTTCTCCGACTTTGAAATTTCGTGTTCCGAACTTCCGAGCTTGCGAATTCTGCTGAAAGAATGATGGGTTTGTATTGGTTCGACGATGCAGTACGCGTTTTGTTGTAGTTGTTGAAAAAAAAAATTCCGTGTTCTGAACCTGGGTTTCTTTGTTCGAAGTTAGGGTTTTGATTTGCGATTGATTTGCAATAGGTTGAAATTGATTTTGAATTTTTGGCGGGATTTAGTGAGCCATGTAGTGGGTTTAACTTCTAGGGTTGTGTGTTTGAGAAGTTGCGATTTGGAGTTGCATTCTGTGCTTTGTAGTTGGGCAACGAAAGGATCAGTTGGAAGTATGATTGCTACAATTATCCTTGATCTGGAGGGGTGAGTTTTAGGAACTTGTCCAAATGATGCTGACCTTGAAAATTAATCTGCATTGATTGATATGTGGGAGTGAAAATTTTGTGGTTTTTTTTTCTTTTTCTTTTTCTGTGAACTTGAATAGTGACTGTGTTCATCTTGGTGTCTGGAATTAAGTGATCTTGTAAAGGGTGTGTGAATCTGTCTGCTGAGAAATGCAACCTCAGCAGAGCTTGAGAATTGACTTGGGTGAATTGAAATCTCAGATAGTGAAGAAGCTTGGAACTGATCGGTCAAAACGGTATTTCTTTTACTTGAACAGGTTCTTGAGTCAGAAGCTGAGTAAGAATGAGTTTGATAAGTTATGTCGTCGGGTGCTCGGGAGAGACAATCTTTGGCTGCATAATCAGTTGATACAGTCAATTTTGAAGAATGCGTGCCAAGCTAAGGCTGCGCCGCCGTTACCTGTAGCAGGCTATCCGAAAACTTCAACACAATCTGCAAAAGTTTCCCCTGTTATAGAAGATGGGAATGAGGACACTGGAGCTGTTTATCCTACTTCTACTCAAAGTATTCCCATTTGGTCTAATGGAGGATTTCCAGCGTCCCCAAGAAAGAGCAGGTCTGGGATACGCGACCGCAAACTCAAGGACAGGCCGAGTCCACTGGGGCCAAATGGGAAGGTCGAATGTATCTCACATCAATCAGCAGGCAAGAAAGATGGAAGCTGTAAAATGATGATGGTTAATGGTGATGCAACTCTATGTGACTATCAGAGACCAGTGCAACATCTGCAAGGAGTCGCTGAACTGCCTGAAAACAATATCGAGGCTAGAATTCGACCAGCAGGAAAGCAAGTCCTAAACAATAAGATCCATGATGAAGGAACTAAGGTTGGAGACCGGGAAGAAGCGGGACACTCAATCCACTCGGGTTTACTTCAAAGTCGCTTACTGGCACCCCTTGGGATTCCTTTCTGCTCAGCTAGTATCGGCGGGGCCCGCAAAGCAAGGCCTGCGGATTTTGGGGGTGATTTCGTTAGCTTTAGCGATATTGGTCATTTATCGGATACAGAGTCATTGAGACGACGCATGGAACAAATTGCTGCAGTACATGGCCTAGGCAGTGTTTCTGCAGACTCTGCTAATATTTTGAATAAGGTGTTGGATGTATATTTGAAGCAGTTAATAAGGTCTTGTGTTGGCTTGGTTGGAACATGCCCTATGCCATGTGAGCCCGAGAAGCCTCTTACCGATAAGCTACAGGTTCAGGGGAAGGTGATCAATGGTATGTTGCCGAATAATCAATTACACGGGCGACATAGCAATGGAAGCAGAGAAGTTATGCACGAGCACAGATTACGGTGCTCGGTATCGTTGCTTGATTTCAAAGTAGCAATGGAGCTTAACCCAAAGCAACTTGGGGAAGACTGGCCTTTGCTGCTGGAGAAAATTCGTATGCGTGCATTCGAGGAATGAGACGACTCTGCTATATCCGTTTGTCACATTCCACAGTTTGTTTGACTCGTCATGGTTCAAAGGGGTCGAGAATGGATCTCAAAGACCTCTCAGCTCTGCTCCTTTGTGCGAGTAAACAAGATTGCTCAAAACTCGATAAAGCTCCTACTTGCAAAGACGAAAAGCGGGTCGAACATCAAAACTGGCGTTTATTCTCGGGAATTATTTAACTGTGACTAAGCTTGGGCACTGTCAGTCGGAACGCCCATCACTGATTGATCTATGTTTCGCATTTAAACTGGCCATAACCATGATTTAAAGATCTCAAGCTTTTCGTGTAAATTTAGATCACTGAGGAAATATACAAAATTTTGCAGAGATACAGCTTGTGTAGCTTGGTGAGAGGTAAATTACTGGTCCAAGAGCTTAGTGTTGCTCTTTGTGTATTAATTCTGAGAATTGATTTAAATTCCATATTAATAACACTCACCAACAGACAACAATCTGCAGTTAATATCCTCTGTATTTCATGCTTGCTTTTTTTTTTGTTAGACAGAAAGATGCAGAAGCTATAAAATGATATAGCCTTTCTGTTCACACAAGGATCTGTTTTCTACATGTTCCACGTTTATGGTGCAATAGTCAGCCACATTTGGATTCTGATTCTTCTCTTTGATCATCCAACCAAAGGAACAGGATATAAACTGATATGTTATTTGTTTTTATTTGCGCTTTCGAACTCTTAGATCCATGTTCTCACTTTCAACTGAGTTAAACAAGAACGAAGAACAGGAACGAGAATATTATCAAACAAATCTTATGAACTTGAGTATATATATATTTAGTTTTGCCCAGCCAACTTGATTAAAGGGTTATAAAAAAGATTCAAAATCTCACCATCTCCAATACTTGAAAAAGAAAAAAGATTACATAATACTTTTAACTTCAGTCATTAAATTACCTGTTTTTTAATTCTAACTTCAAGCTTGATGTATATGAGTTAGAATACAAATACTGATTGTCACTTAGAATTTTTACTAAATGAATCCAACAGAATACAAAGTTAAAAGATGAAAGTAAGGTCAAAATCTGCCTGACTCAGTTCTCCAATCTAGAAATTCAGCAAATGAAAGTACTGAGAATATAAAAGAAAAAGGTGTACAAGATGAGAGGATTTCATTCACAGATAAGACTGAGTTTCTGATTTTAAAGCCAATGGCTGGCCTGTGCTTATTAAGTAGGGTTTTAATAGAACAGAATTTGCTATGTACAATAAATCTTGGGTGGGGGGAGAAGATTGATCCTCCTCCATTTTCCTTTTTTTTTTTTTTCTTTTTTCATTTTTCTGGACACAATCAAACGAATTATGAAGGCAAAGCTGAAGCAGGTTCCTCCACAGATGCTTTGCAAATGGGGCACCAGTTCTTCAGCCGCAGCCACTGTTGTATGCACCCTTCATGGTAAGTATGCTCACACTGCAGCGTCCCGACTTCATCTCCATTCGAGTATTCTTCCTGCAACAAGGAAAAAAAGTCAAACCCCTTGTTACTTAAACTGATTGAGGTGCGGATCTCAGATCGAATATTTGAATGATCAAGAAACTCAGGTAGTTTAAATATGGTTATAGTACTTGAATTTTTTGTCATTTTCTATTTTGGTTCCTATTCCTTCATCTTCTCTTAAACTACGTCTCTAATCTTTCCCATAAAAGTGATACCTTGATTTAATACATAGATAATAAATTGTGTAATGTGGTAAACTCAAAAAAGTTTTTATGGTAACGACCAAAACTAGAGTTTGATGAAAGCTGAAGGATTAAAATTGACATGTAGAAAGACGAAAAACGAGTAAAGTTTTACCAAAAGTGATGTTCAAAAGTTCACGGACTGAAAAGAAAACGAGTATACATTTAGGTCCCAGAAAGATATTACGACCAAAATTCAATTAAATCGAAGATGTCTGGTAACTAATAGCCAGAGATGTTGGTAAATGCATGCAAATCCTGACACTATGGTAACCTATAATACAACAGGATAACAAATCAGTTCCTTGAGTTCAGGTCTTTTAGCAGCCTCATCAAGTCCATTCTCAAAACTAAGCTTATAATAAATAATGGCTGATTAGTGGCTGTTTTACCCTTTTGGATTCTAACTTTATAGTATAACCAGAGGTTCAGAACAAACAGCTGGTATAAACAGACCTGGCATATACAACATTTGACGCCATCCTCGTACTCGCTGCTGCCCTCGCTACTGCCTGCAGATGTATTCTCTGCATGTCTAGACTGATATGTGCTTCTATTCAAGCACTGTGACAATGCTTCCTCGGTAACCGCTGTACTCACGCTTCCCATTCTCTCTTCTAGAGCTAGTAATTCCTGTCATAAGCACAACATAGTAGATAAGTAAAAATACGAGAACAACCGACACAGCATATGGGGAGGAGTGTAATAGTCGATGCTAAAATGCAACTCCCCCAAGGACAATTGAATGAATTGTTTGGGTAACAAAAGAAATGGTCCACAATAACATCAAAAAGGCAGGACAGAGGATGTACATTTGGATATATTAGATATAAAGGGAGCACAGTATTTCCAAAGAAGATATCAAACCTCATATGACATGTTATCAATATCCAGCCTCATGTCTCTATGCTGATCATAGAAGTTTAAGCCACTAAGGAAAAGGTTGGTCTCTAAAAGAATTACTTGCTGCAGGGCAAATTAAATGTTAGCTCAACATGTAGTGACTTAATAACTTATGGTTAAATCACAAAGTTTGGTCCTTGAAATTTCAAGTTGTTTCTAATAGGTTTCTAAATAAATTTTAAAAGGTGCTAAGAAGTCTCTAAACTTTAAATATTGTGTCTAATAGGTCCCTCAACTTTCATTTTAGGCCTATTTGATACGAAATTCAAAATTCAAAATCCTGTTAAGCACAATTGAAAAGGTTCAAGAACCTGTTAAAATAAAAGGACAACTCACGAAGCTCAAGGACTAAATTTGTAAATTAACCCTAGATTAATAAAGATAAAACCAAGGAACTACCTACCTCATAAGTTAGCTCTTCTTCATGTTCAATCCTTTCAAGAGCCAACAATACCTTAAAAAAGCAGATGCAAATTTTTTAAAATTAACTAGACTGAGAAAATGAAGTGTTCTTTCGATTTATCTTCACAAAATAGATGGAATTATGATATGGAAATGTACCTCTGCAATACCATAGTGTCGAAAGCTATCTCGAGTTGCTAAAGTGCGTGCCAATCCAATTTCTGCAGGACTAGCAGGTCTATTACCAAGTATATTCTCATTGATGCTATCTGATCGTCTGTAAGAAATTGGGTGATCTGAAATCAAATCTGTAGAGACTTCATGCGCATTACTATCTATTGAGCTGTCGGGTTGATGAACATGAGGCACCTGAGAGATCATGGACCGTGACTCTTGCAACGATGTACTGTTTCTGTCGGGTCTGTTGCCATGCGATCTTGCTCTTGACATCCCGTTGATTGATGCCCTAGATCGACCTGCAATGCCATTTTCCCTGGGAGAAGTTCCATTTTTGGCTCCTCTTGAATCAGATATTGAAACGCCATAACCAGAGCTCGTAATCCTTCTTTCTGAGGATGATCCATTCATCTTCTTTCCTCCCGTAGAGCTACTTTCTGCTTCAGAATTCCTTTTTTTGGCTGTATCCTTCCGTTTACTAAGATTTGGATCTGATGAAGAACAACCTGATGAGATGACATCAGATATTGAATTACATCTGAAATTTCTCAAGGTATGCCTACCTGCACCACCACGTGACGTCTGGCGAGAACTTTTAGGCCCCGTCACCACAGAAGAACCTGCTGCAGTATCCTTACTACGCGTTCCAGATCTCCGATTGAAATCCCTTCGCCCTCTAGTGTTAGATGCAGCGTTGGAGCTTCCTGGTTCCATTGTGTCATCTGCAGAGTCGGAACTTTTAAAACCGACATGAAGCCCTGTTCGTATCCTTTCATTTGACGGGACAACTTGTGAAATCTCTGGCTCATCCTGGGTGCTACTAGTTTCTGAAGAGTCTGTTTCTAACTGGGTGGACAGTTTTCTCCGAGTTTCAGCTACAGATTTCTTGGAACCGCGAACAGCATAGTAAGTCCTAGAGGAACTTCCGACAACTTCTTTGCCACTTGAATTGGTTCGAAAAGACTGCAATGGAGATTTAAGTTTCTCTGAATAACTACTCCGAGTGCCCTTTGGGGAGTTTAGTCTGCCACTGCAACCAATTCGGCTACAATATTTACCATCTTGGTCTCTGTTATTTGCAGTATCTCTCAAAATCGCACCGGGTCCCCTTCTGGATACGTATCCATCAGCAGCTCTTTTACTAGGATATTCTTCCATGTATGATAAATTGTAGACACTTCGACTCTGCAACAACCAGCTCCTGAGTGAGAATTTGAAACCTTTTACAAAGTCATGCAGTCAACTCGGGAAACAAAGTGGATGTAGTTTGTACAAACCAGTGGAGGCCACAGCCCAATTTTCAAATAGTAGCATCTAATTTAAATATGATAAATAATAATTTATTGAAACTCACAGGCTGAGGCAAAATCAGAGATGAAGATCAATATACTCATTATCCACAACATGAATAATGGAAATCCAAAATAGTAATTCCAGAAAAGGATATCAATTAATTCTAGTCCTAGTTCATGGTTTAATATAATATAAATATACCAACCAGCTAGCTGAAAATAAGCACCAGAATCATGCAGCATTTAAATTGCAAATATTTAATAACTTTAAATTATAAACCCACAAGGCTAAAGCTGCAGAGTTATCCGATAGCAGCATCAGATCAATCCGGGAAGGCCATATTTAATAACTTTGACGGAAAAAATCAAAGTCTATTTCTAAATTAACGAGTACTAAACTCAAAACAAAAATAAGCATCTAATAGGTATTGTTTCTCATACCAAAATACTGCTTAGCTCTTCATTGTTTTGAGCCTGGCCAGAAATCAAAGCTGCAACTATGACGGGATTGGGTAACACTAAAATAATCTTATCATCTTTAAAATATAACCAAAACCATCCTAGAAAGTAAATCAGTCTGGCGAATCTCGAGTCTCATTCATCACCTAACTCTCAGATATAAAGATATTATCCCACTATGTTTCTCTCCTGAAGAACTAAAGTCTATAACAAATGCATCCATGGCAGTGAAACAGACCAATCTTATATAATGATGGAAGAAGCAACATAATTAGAAAGATGGTCCATAACACAGAGAAGCACTTGTTTGGGTATAAACACAAATAAATAATTTCCACTTCCAATTTAAATAATTATGATTACGGCCTATTTAAATAAGAAGTTGATCAGCATAATCCAAATAAAGGAACAAAAACCATAAGAATTTGGTTAAGTCAAAATAAAAAAAGGAAAATCAAAACAAGTGAAAAAGGTAAAGGAATCTATGTGTCAGATGGTCGAAATCCATCCCCACAAAAAGTGAAGTCTATCATTTTTTTTTTTCCAGGAGAAAGCCATTCTTCATTGTTCTTCACAAAAGGCTCACTCCATATTTATAAAACAAAATAGCTCCGTGATTTAAGGCCTAAAAAGTTCAATAACCGGAAAAAACCATCCCAAAAAAGGGAAAACCAACAATAGCTTTTAGCTTTATTTTACACCCCACGAAATTTTTCTTGAAAAAGCAACGAACAAAGGGGGAAAAATAGCAGAGTGACTGCCAATCCAATATTGATTGATTATACAAGATCAGAATTAAGTAGACGAAAACAGAGAATCAAATTCACATCAATCGAACGTAATCCCAGAAATCAATCGAAGTTACAAACAAACCCCAGAATTCAAAAGGGCAAAAGAAGCAATACAAGAACGAAACATAACATCATCTACCTCGTTTCCCCGTGTTGCTAAGAACGATCAAAGAGAGAAGAAGTGGAAGCTTAGAAGTATATTGAGAAAGCGAGCGAGGAAAGGCTTTGATTTCAGAGAGAGATTGAGATGAAAAAGGGGGGGAAGGGGCAAAAACGTGTATGAATGATCCGAGGACGAGAGCTTGTCGATTTGCAATCCCAATATCAAGTATAATTCTTTCGAAAAAAGGGAAACGGAAAAAGAGGAGAAGAGAGAGAGAAAACGGGGGCGTACCGAAAAACTCTATAGTGGTGCCGTCCAAATAGCAATAAAAATAAAAAATAAGGGATTCGGTGAAATATGGGCCGTTGGATTGAGAGTCAACGATCAATGGCTGTGGATGACTGCACGTCATCTTCAAAGAGGCTCCATTTTTGTGGACTGGAAGGAACAGAGAAGCTCTGCCCCACCTCACCAGCTGACCCGCCTACCCTCAAATTTTCCTTCCACTGATT